TCTGAGAGTTCATCATCTGTGTCATCTTTGTGTGTTGCAATTTCAGTCATATCATCCTCATCCCAAAGACCATGGCACTGATTAAAACCCACAGGTAAGTCGATGTTATTATTTATAAAGCATCACCATATGATATTGTAAAGTGGGTAAATGATAAAACCAGTATGACATACAGGATCAGGGATGGCCATGCTCAACTGAGCTAAGTGCCTACCGCCATCAGACTCTCCCCTAGTCATCAATCGTTTAAGAAGTGTCTTAAAACCCATCTCTTTAGGAAAGCTTATGGCCTCCCAGCGTAACCTCTACCTCACATACCTGTCTCTTGCGCTCTACTAAAGGGCAGCACTCTACTCTCTCCTCCAGCTCTGCTTCACTCCCACCTTATTTGATTGCTATTTTCTGTCCTAATGTGTTTTATGCCCCACTTCCTATAGACTGTAAGCTCGTTTGAGCAGGGTCCTCTTCAAGCTATCGTTCCTGTAAGTTTTCTTTTAATTGTCCTATTTATAGTTAAATCCCCCCTCTCATAATATTGTAAAGCGCTACGGAATCTGTTGGCGCTATATAAATGGCGATAATAATAATAATAATAAAAAGTGGTCAAATGAAGTGGGTATGATTACTCTAAATGTAACACAAGAATATAATGTGTCCAAAGGGTAAGTTGATATCCAGTGTTTAAACAATGCACAATACTTCAAATCGCATTAAATTAGGGGAAGGTTTTATCCGCAGAGAAGGGGTGCTAAGCAAGAAAGGCATTGAAGGTGAACATTGGTGGTGCAAAGAAGAAGGACCAGGATGGAATGCTACAAACATGGAATTGTTTAAACCTGAGTAAATGTGAAATGCTTATATTTACCTTAACTATTAAATGGTTATTCATACTGTAAAAGCATCAAAAGAATTGCAGAAATCTCCATAGATCTCCAAAGCTGTAACTGGGTATGTAATCCAATAAATATATTGGGATAATTATTAATGGGTATAAGTTAAGCCCTTCCTATAATATTGCTTGTCCTTTTATAATATCTTGCTCATTACCTTTAATATAGATCTATGGAAAAACAAAGCCAAGAGTTGGACCAGATCATAGTGAACATATCCTTCTTTCTTCTCAACGCCAATTATATTGGGAGCGTGGTAAGGTTTGTCTTTGTAGTAGTCCACATGTTTATTCCAAGGGAAGAATCCAAATTGGAAGAAATATTTGATAACAATTGTTACCTGCACATAAGAAATTTGAATACCTCAGAATATGTTTGTTAATAATTAATAAAAGAAACAGCACAAAAAAACTTCAGTTCTGACCCTCACAGAGCAATTTAGTTCACTATCCCCGCATTTGTACTTGCTAAATGGTTGGTCTGGGAAACAATAAATAAGTTAGTCCTGTCTGCCTCTAATGTATGAATTTACTTTAGTTTAATATCTCTCATGCTAGATATTTGTATTTTTTATACAGTGGTGTGCTTATTAAATGATTATTCTATTGTTAAATGGTTATGACTATGTTTTAAAAGAATTACAAGTTTGGACAGTGTGCTTTTACATACCTCTGTGTACACAATTGCTGTCATCCAAAAACGTTTACTAGGCCTGGGAACAGATAACATAGCCCAAAGGAAAATAAGGATAGGCAAAACCAAGGTAATCATTGATGCTGAGATCATGTGATTGAGAATAATGACGAAATAGCAAACCATTTCCGATCTGGCCACCAGAGTATTGTACAGTGCATATATCAGCTGGAGAGAACGTGGCTGACCAACATAAAATCTATCAGAATCTTCGAGCTCTTCATCTAGAAACATCCTACACAAAAGCAAAACAATTAAACCCAGTTGGATTTGAAAAGGTAAAGTGTGCATTCATCATTGCTCTGTCTATCACTACTGTGCCATGCTAAGCTTTACTAACTGTGACAGAATGCAAGTTACAAATACTTCTTTTTTAATGCAAACTCCCTGCCTTTCAGTTAGCAAGTTTCACGCAAAGGAAAGATTAGTTTGCATGAAACTAATCTTAAAGGAACATTGTAGTAATCCAAACCACTTTATCTCAATGAAGTGGTCTGAGTACATTGTCCCTTGTAGCTTTTGAGAAACCACAATGTTTACATTGTTTTCTTATTCTGTTCACTGACAGGGTCAGCCCTGGGGGCACAATCTCCTGGTGACCGAGTAGAAGCGGCTCACAGTGTTCCCCCTCCTGCCAATTATAACTTGTAGCGTCAGCATGGCCGTACAGTTTGCAGTAGAGGATCTTATTTATCCTCTATCTGGTCTGAAAGCAGTGTAGCGGCCACTACTTAAGGCCAATAGATACAAAAAGGGACTAGTGATGGGACAAACAAAGGCACTGTTGGGGGGGGAGGGGGGAAGGGGGTTACCCACAATGGGACTGGGTGAATAGAAAGTGACACACAAAGGGACTGGGGGAGAGAGAGTGCCACACAAAGGAACTGCGGGAAGACAGAGTGACACACAAAGGGACTGGGGGAGAGAGAGTGACACACAAAGGAACTGGAGGGGGGAGACACACAAAGAGCTGGGGGGAGAAAGTCACATACAGTGTCAGGTCCCCTGCCTCCATGCTGCTTGCGGCGGCCTTGCTTACCCAGTCACCACGAGCGGCGTCCCCGACTGCAGCGTGTGGCTGTCCCCGCCCCGTGCTCCAGACTGACAGTGTTTCTGACGCTGCACGCTCCAGAGCAGCATCCTTATATGTATGTCAGACCCAGTCATGTGACCCAGCACACAGTGATGACCTCAGAGACCACAAGGGAGGGAAGTGGTTAACACTAATTGGAGGTTAGCCAATCAGACACAACCTGTGTGTATATAAGCTAACCTCCCACTTTCCTCAGTGCCCTCTTGTGGCCTTTGTTTAGCCCAATAGCGTGTTATACTCTCTCTGATTAATTAGTTACCAAACTTTGGCTTGTCTTATGTTTACTCTTTTTTCTCTGCTCCCTGATCTCCGCTTGTCTCTTCATATTCTGTCTCTCAATTTTCCTTTGACCTTGGATTGCTTGACTATCCTTTAGCATACCCCTGCCATTCTAAGGACCGGTATTGCAATTCTGTTTGTTGTGTACTGCCTGTGTGTTTGGTTCCCTACCAATCGTGACACAAAGTGGCTGGGGTGACACAAATGTACCAGAGGAAGTGACATACAAAGTGGTTGGGGGAGAAAGTGACACACAAAGAGAGAGGAAAAAGAGACACACAAAGTTGCTAAGGGAGAAAGAGACACACAAAGGGATTGGGGGAAGACACACACAGGAGCTGGAATATAAAGAAACACACAAATAGACAAATGGGGTTTAAGTGACACAAATGTGAAGAAGCATAGGGGGGTGGCAAAAATGCATCTTCACCTGTGTAGCCAAAAATCCTTGCATCGGCCCTGTACACTGATAAACTACTTTTTTCCCAAAGAGGAAATTTAATAGAGGACATTCACACAGTACATTATGCACTGCATCACAAGTTTATATTGTTTTATTAATTTTGACTTGTTGGTGAATATTTAAAAAAAATTAAAAATTAGATTCACAAAGTTTACAACAAATATACATATTTAGCAAAAACAACATCTTATAATACTCTTTAATGTATACTTACTTGTTTAGGAGTAATTCACTTGCAGTTAGCTCATGTGTTAAAGGAGGCAATATTGTATCATGAAGTTTGTCTGTACGACTATCGTCTGGGCTTAAAACCATCATGTTATTGTCAGCAGATTCATCCCGGGATACAAATGAAAGTTGTTCAAAGCTGACCGCTTTGCTGTAGGATGGTGGAATATCACCCTCTGTTGTGGAGTACAGAGGCAAGTCTGTGTCCGGTGTGTAGCTTGATGCCTCCAAGTCTATACAATAATCTTCTTCTTCATCCTCGTCTTCTGTCTCTAACATTGATGCTGGTCCTTTACCTTCTACCTCTTGTTCATTTTCTACTTCTTCAATAGTCTCTGTTGTCCCCTGACGTGAGTACACCATAGTACACTGAGTGGGTTCACTATAAGGTGATAGATAAATTATCAGTGATTGCTGCAATTTGCTAAATAACATGCATTTCATGGTAAATCACAACACTTTAGTGTATATGTCAAATATTATTTCTTAGGTAAAATGAGGTTATCTTACAAATTAAAGCTAACTGCTGCTTTTTAAAGCCAGTTAGTGTCCTACAGTGTTCCCAAACACCATATAACTAAATGTGCATTAATTAAAGCAATAGCTCCCATTGGAAAACATACGCACAAAGATTTGATGGATGAATGAGTGAATAAAGCATGCGTGGGTTAAGCACCTTGATGCTATGCTGCCACTGTCAGCAGATGAAGAAGACATGTCCATGCTGTACATTTTACGAAGCCTAGGGCGAACACGTTCACTTGTTTTTGGTATAGTGTCTGGTCCATCTAAATCATCAAGCGTAGACTGCCTTGAGAACAACATGGTGGCTTCCGTGTAGCAGCTAGCAGCACAAATAGTCACAGAGACAATGGTGAGTGACAGGCAAGCAAAATGTTTCACAATAAGCAGTTTAGCATGGTTTTAAGCATGGGACAAATCAGACAGAAAACTATTTCTAAGCATGATTACTTGCTTAATTAATAAATACATCTGAGCATAATGTTACTTAAAAAGATGGATGCAGATGTCTGCGATGACTTCAACATGCTGATACCAACATATGTTTTATTTGACATCATGAAATAATTACAAAGTGACATATATTTAAAAAAGGTTTATTTGGTAAGGTTAACACAGTTAACCTGGGGAGAGATATGACAAAATGTGTTTTGAAAATGACATAAAATGAGAAGCAGCACTGAAAAATAATAGAGGGATACAATAAATACGTTTTAGATATTGTACAATGGCTAAAATGCCACAGCTCATTAACAGTAAATACAAGATATTGCATTATCAACATCACACTTTCAAGTGTATGCATGGTTTTATGTATGGTTTTAAGCGTATGGGGCTAGTGGTACAATGGCTATCATGTCTGACTATGGATCAGAAGATTCTAGGTTTAACTCCTGGCTGGCTTGTTGATAACTTTTTTCATTGTACAGCGCTACGAAATTTGCTGGCGCTATATACATAATAAAATAATAATGCATGCATGTAAATAAAGCAATGATCTCTCTGTCATCAGAAATCTACTGTGTAATATCCTAAAGTATTTTGAAAAAAAAAAAAAAAAAAGAATTCTATCACCTAGAATGCTAATAGTTAAACATAAGTAATCTCAGGATCTGATTGATTGGTGGCATCACATTGTCTCAACAGTGTTTTGGTTTATTTTTTAAATAACAGTGACTGTGTGATTAAATGATATTACAATTCCAAGAAAGCCCCCCTCACTTTAAAACATGGTCATATTTTCAAGTGACGGTTTATGCTCTTTTGCAAATATTGTTTTAACAAATTCAAGACAACATGACATGTCAATATTACGTGTCAGCCTAATCCTAATTATGTAATAGAAATGTCACGTGACAGAATATTCATTCCTATTAAATATATCATTAATAATAGATGGCATGCTTCCGCTAATAGTCTTAGAGTTGTAACTGTAATGTGACCATATATGCACAATAAATTATTCTATCATTATGTTTGGTGTAATAAAATGAACTGCTGCTTTTATGGGACATACTTATATGAACTGCAACTAGTTAGCTAGGATTGCTAAGAAGGAGGCACCCAGAGGATGTTTGACGTATTTATTTATTTTTTATTTTTTTATAATTTAAGCTGCTTATATACATAAATATACTATTTTGCTTGGGTAACTTGAATGATTAAAAAACTGAGCATTATTATAATCAAATTTTAATTACACAGACTCTGATTTACCTTCCCGTTCCCAGTGGGAAGCTTGCTGTATCTATGAGCTTTCAAATTAAGACAATCATTCGGAGAGATGATAGATTTCCATACTAAGTTACTCCATAAAGACACTTAAGAGTTCCCTGACATCAGCAAATTTAAAGAGTCTGTTAAAATTATTAAAGTCTAAATGCAATAAAAGGTCTATTTGTTTTTAGTTAGAATAGCACAGATCATACTTTATTAAGAATCAGAGCACTTGCTTGCAAGCATATAAAATAACTGAATTGGCATTTGTTATATGATCTGCTGGTGGGCAGCATAAGTATCTCCATCAGCAATCTCACACCTTCTCTGATTACTATAATTCACTTTAACTTCATGTAAGAAGATTAAGCTCAAAGGTGCTATAGAATGAATCCATACAAACACTACTACCATTGATCTGTTTTTTCTGCACATCCCTTTTAATGTATAAGCAGTCAAACTTATTGACCACTGCTGTCCAATTCTGATATGAGTGCATACCTTCTGCAACACAAGTGGAATGAGGATCCGTTACATTTAGAAAGGTCTTTCCTCACCAGTAACTCAGAATGAATGTAAAAGGCACGCTCCCACTCAATTCAGGGTTAATTGGGTTTTTCCTCCCTTCAATCCCTTAGCCAACATCTTATCCAACATATTTTATTTAGATTTCAAAGATTTTGCAATTGCAGGTCAAGCACTAAAAGAAGCACATCTAAAAAAGTTTCCCATTCAGTACTTTATTGTAACTTTATTGTAACTGTTGCAGCTACAGTTAGCAGTTTATGAAAAAAATTATAGTAACACATCACTTCATATGGGTAGTTTAACACTTTATATATCCATTCTACAATAACTTGTAAATATGTTGTTATATGAGAATCCATGTTTAACACATACACATATTGCATTGTTGTTGTCAATTGCCTAAATCTGACACGAGGATATGAACACATATTCCCACATAGTGTTTAACTGGATTTAGCCTTTATATTAATGTGCCTCTTCATGCTAGAACTGGCATTATTTTAGTGAGCACCAGATTGAATTTTGGTCAAGCCCATTTAGTTTTCAAATGTAAAATCTCAAGTGGTTTACTTTTCCTTCCCATGTGAAACAAATAGCAGGTTGTCATGTATATTTCCCCCATAAAAGCTTGCATTTCTCAAAGCTGGAAACTTCACAAGGAACAATGAATGTATTTCATGCAGCCATTTTACCTCCAACATTTGCCACAGTTTGTAAACTATTTTTTCAGTTTCACACATGTGGCTATGAATTTAGTGTTTAAAGTTTGTGCAAATACGATAGTTAAAGGGACACTTGGCTGTCCAAATACAATACAATATAAATAGAAATCACTGTTTAGAGATCCTAAATGAAAACTTGCATGCATTTAATTATGTTTTTTTTCATTGGAGTTATATCTAAAAACAGCTTGCAAAAACTGCAGAATTCGTGTCTTTTTCTCCAATTGCACAGAATTATTTTATTGTAAAATGTGTATAGCAAAATGTTCATGTTTAACTAGGAGGTATGAAAAACATTGTTTTCCTTTTTTTTATAACATATAATATGCTTTATAGCTCTGCTCTAAATTATATATATAAAACAGAGGTGTATTTCTGGGAAAGGTGTCAAGTAAATGTGTGCTTGCTTCCTTTAATGGGATTTTAATTAGACTCACCTGGTTTACTCTTTTTTAAGTCACATAGGGCAAAATATAATGGCACAACTGTCAGGTTTTAAACCTCATAACCTTTTAGGTAAATAGGGATAGCAGTTGGAAATACAAAATACTATATACTTCTAAAACCTTACGGGACAGACTTGATGACAAATCATTTATTCATAAATCAAAAAAAATTTAAATTTGTTTTTGATGCATGGCGAAAAAAAAAGAGACACTAAATACCATTACAGCACATGCTGACTGTATATATTGCGATCTCCTGTGTTCGGCTCTGGAGACTGCTGTGCATAAAACTGAGAACAGCGCTACAAATAAACGAACAGCATGCACAGTAAGACTGCTACCAGCTTACCCAACACCTCTACTTATCACATCTGATCTATGGCTAAGTTGTTGACCTATATACTGCGTAAACCCCAAGGAAACTCAAAGGTAAATATGTGCATATCATATAAACGTATAGAGACTTTAAACATAAGTATATTTTTCTTCACATTTACATTATTTTTTTTTTTTTCAATTAGGGTCACTTCAAGACTGGAGTGTCACATTAAGTGCTATCATTGTATCATATATTTACTAGATGAATGAAAAAATGTTAAGCAAATAGTTCTCAGGTTAGTATTAAAGGAGCACCACAGATGAAACATGCACAGACATCACTTTAAACAGCCCTTTCCCTTCAAACTATGCTTTTCTGTGGTATTCAGAGAGTTCATAATCAAAGTTTTCATTTAAATTTAAGATAGTCCTGGTCATGTAACTGTTTATTTTCTGCATTATTCATATTGTGTGTGGTTATTAGACCTAAAGCGGTTTACTGCTATTTAATATGTAATCTGGTAGTGATAGTGCGTTTCATTATTTATAGGTTTTCATTTCTTTATTTCTATTTTTCTTTCTTATTAACATTGGTTCATTTTTCTTTTCTTTTTCATAGGTTTGATGTTTTAGATACACTATATGGCCAAAAGTTTAAGGACCATAGGAACATCACATCCTTTGTGAGCTTGTTGAGATATCCCATTCCAAAACCATGAATATTAATAATGTGTTGCCCCCCCCTCATACCCCCTCATTAGTGACCAGACATGGGCATTTGTTTTTGGACAAGCACTTTTTTGTCTGAATGTCGGCAAAGACAAATGGACAAATGCAAACTACAATGAATGAAACGAAGAACGAATTGCCTGTTGGACAACACAATTTGTCCATACAATTTGTTCTTTGATTTGGTTTGTATTACAAAGAGGGAGCTACTAACTTGTAGCTCCCTCCTTTTAATATTTAAAAATAGAAGCGGTGGGGAGCTGTGCTCCCAAATGCTTCCTAAATCCCCTAATGCTCCCCATCACCCTTGGCCTTTGAGGGCCAATATCACCCCAATATTAGTATAAGGGAGGTTAAATGGACACCATAGTCACCAAAACAAGTTTAGCTTAATGAAGCAGTTTTGGTGTGCAGCCTCACTGCTCACTGCAGTCTTAGTTCCGGTGAATCATGTTAATGATACTGGATACAAAGAGGTCTAGCCCAAACCCTGAAAAACATCCACAGACCACTTTCCCACCTCCACCAAACATTACAGCAGTTACTATTTATTCTGGTTTTTAAAGTTTTGTGTTTTCTATTAGGCATGTAGAGTGCACCTTTTGTTTCGTGGGAGGGACCATGTGAAACCATACCACCTTAGCCCTTTCCTGAAAAATGATACATTCTCCCCTTTTAATAATTATTTGTTTTTACTAGTTTGGAGTTGGTTCCAGGCAACAGTCTGTACAGCCATTTTTAGCTGGACATTTTGGTTGCAATTGATATGTTGACACAATTGCATAGTGGTACAGTAGTCAATTGGATAGTTGTTAAGTAATTATTCATAGATACAACTGGTCAATGTTTTTTAATTAAACAGCATTAATGTTATCCTTACCTGGATATGCTATCATGAGATGCTGCAGAGTCTGCACTGTCCATTCTTTTACTTGCCATCCTGTCATTTTTTTGGTGGCTGGATGCTGAGCCGGGCTGGTCATCTAACCTGTCAAGTCCTGATTCTCTGGAAAGGTTCATCATTATATGGTTTTGATAATACATATGAATGCTCTCCCGGGTAGGAACAATGCCCTGAAAAAGCACAAATATCTATTTATATTCTTCATTTACATTATTATATATGCTTTGAAAAAAAGTCCAGCCAAAATTATTTTATTAAATTACTTATGTCTTATGAACAAATTTTACAAGTACTATTGCCATTTTTAAGAAATTTGAATTTACAGCATTTTTTTATAGAATATTAAATGTACCAAGCTTCTATTGTATTTCCTATAATTATTCCAAATGGCAGTTGGGTGGCAAAGGTTGGACAGCAGCTATGTACTGTGCACACAGAAATATGGAATGCTTTGTGGCTTTTTGCTTATTGTGAATTCTTGCCATCTTCGGTGGAGATCTCATTTACTTATTAAACTCCAAGTATCTGGAGACATATTGCTT